CTGCCATGCCGGGTGCGTTCCTTGCAAGAGGTGCTGGTCATTTGTGGTGGAGACAAACTGACAACCAACCTGGCTGCCCGGAAGCCCAGCAGACACCTTTGGTTTGCCCACCGCTACCTCAGTGCTGTGGGGCTGGTGAAGCAGGTGGAGTGGCGGGCACTGGGGCACTTTCCTGATGGCCCACGCTTCCGCCACGCTGTAGCTGTGGTGGGTAACAACCTCTACATCCTGGGTGGAAAGCGCTACTACGGGGCCCATGACACCCTGGCCAGTGTCTACAGGTGAGAGCTACAGAGGATCTAGAGGTGCCATGTAGCACCAGGACACTGTGGGATCAGAGGAGTTGTTGTTGGAGCTAGAGCTGCCCCATGGACCCAAGGCATTGTGGCATTGCAGTTGGTCAAGTGGCCTCAAGGCATTCTGGGATTGGTTGGGTGTAGGACTGGGATGAGCTCTTCCACTCTGGAATGTTACAGGCTTTTTGGGGGTAGGGCTCCTATCTGGAGATGCCTCAGGGTATTATGGGTTTGGTATTGCCCAGAAGGAGGGGATATTCCCATGCAAGGTGACCATGTGGCCCCAAGGCCCTATGGGATTGGCTGGTTGTAGGTGGGTTGTTGCCCTCAGTGGTGCCAACATCACCTCATGGCATTGTAGGTAACAGCTAGTCTCTTGATCCTTTACCTCTCAAACCCAGGTATCAGCCTATGGACGATTCCTGGGAGCACCTGGCCAGCATGACCTGTGGGCGGAGCTACTTTGCTGCTGTGGCACTTGGGGATTTCATCTATGCCCTGGGGGGCAGCTCGGGGGAGCTCTACTGCACAGACACTGTGGAGTGCTATGACTTGGCCAATGACACCTGGAGGTGAGACCGCTCCACATGGACACCTGCTTTCCTTTGCCCTAGCAGCACCTTGCATTGGCCAGTGGCGCCCATTGTGTGGTCTTTGGGTCACTGAGCCTCCAATGGAGAATGGGCCTACAATGGCCTTTGGGAGAGGTCTATTGGGTGTTGAGCAACTGTGTCCCTTGGAGGACATTGAGTGTTGGCCAGTGATGCCTATTGGGTGGTGAATGAGTTTTTGGCCAATAGTATTCACTGAGGGTCTGTTGGCCATCTGCCAATGAGATGAATCATTTAAACATCTTCCAGCTATGTTCATTGGGTGCTCTGTTGGGTGTTGGCCAATATTGTCTATTAGGGCGTCTGCTGTGGGTTGACCAATGGTGTCTTTTGGGGTCTACAAAGTGTTGAACAGTGATGGCCCTTGGGCATCCATTATGCATTAGCTGATGCTGCCCACTGGTGTTGGCCAGCATTGACTGCTGAGCAGTCAATGGACCCATGGCTCACTGGGGAACTCCTGGGCAGGCAGTCACCATGGGGCAGCCCTGCTTAATCTGCCTTTCACACCCCTCCCTCTCTCCTTGCCCAGGAGGTGCCAGCCCCTGCCGATGGCTCTGTGCGGGCACGCGGCGTCTGCCCTGGATGGTGCCCTCTACGTGTCAGGGGGGTGTGATGAGGCATGCCAGTGCCAGGCAGCCATGCTGCGCTATGTCCCGGGTACACCTGCCACGCTCCTGGCCCCCATGAATGGCCAGCGAGCTGGGCACATCATGGAGGAGGCGGGTGGGCAGCTCTATGTGGCTGGAGGGCTGTGCCAGCAGGACGGGCAGACTGGCTACAGGGACCAGCTGGCCTTTGAGGTCTACAGCCCCAAGCTAGACATCTGGGTCCTCCTCAGTCCCCTGCCCCATGCCCATGTATTTGGGGGTGCAGCTGTGCTGGGGGGGGAGCTGCTCGTACTGGGAGGGTACAGTCATGAGACCTACCGGGACACCCACTTGATCCATGCCTACCAGCCTGGCACCCGGCGTTGGATCACCCGGGGCACCTTGCCCCATGCCTATACTGACCTCCAGGCTTGTGTCCTCACTGTACCTACCACCTTGCGTGGCCCCAACTGCCTTGAAGACCCCTCAAGATCACCTGACACCCCCAATAATACTTAGGGGGGGCTTAAAAGCTCTGCACCCCATACCAGGATCCCCAGGTAGCATCCATGGGCACCTCTATAGGACAAAATCTCCCCCAGATCACTTCCCCACAATGGGTTCCTTCTGTGGTTTCCAGCACACACACACACCCCCCCGCCCAGGTACATGCCCTAGACTGTGGAGACACCGTGGGACACAAAGACTCCCCACACTGCAACCCTGTGCCTCCAGGAATACTCACTCCCTTGCCCTGACCCCTTCACTGTGAGCTGGGGATCCCCCAATTTCCCCCCACTCTTGGTTTGAATAAAAGTGGCTCCTGAACTGCCCATCTGCGTCTTCTTGTTTCTGCTGGGGAGCCCAGACATCCAGGTGTTTCTCACAAGGAACAGGAGGAGAGCAGAAGACCAACAGCCTGAATGTCCTGGATGGGTGGTGGTGGGGACCAGGATTGCCTGGAATGCTTGGTCCCATGGGGAGCAGTGGGTGGAGGGCACTGGGGCGCTGGATGCCTGTGTTCACTGGGCGTGGAGGAAGATGTGCATGTGTCTTGGGACTGAGAGGCATCTTGGGGTGCATGGGGGGACCTAAGAGAGTCTTGGGGGTGCCAGGGTTTTGGGGTTCCTAGGTGGTTCTGGGAGGTCTTGGCTTCCTGGAGTGCTTGCCATGTGGAGAGGTGGGAGAAGCCTATGGAGGACTTGCAAGGAGAGGTGGCGGTAATGGAGATTCTGGGAGATATTGGGGCACCAGTGGTACCACTGAGGAGGGAATTGAGGGTCCTGGGATGTGTAGGGGATGTTGCAGGTTCTCATGGCTCCCTAAAACAGTATTTTAGATGTGGTCTAATGAGTGCTGAGCAGAGGGGGATAATCACTTCCCTTGGTCTACTGGCTATGCTCCTGTTAACCCAGCCCAGGTTTCTCTTGCTCTCTCTTTGCTGCCAGGGTGCACTGCTGTATCTTGTTCACCTGTCAACCAAGACACACAGGTCCTTTTCTGTAGCTCTGTTCTCCAACCAGTCTGTCCCCCACTGGCACTGCTGTGCACTGTTGTGGTCTTCCTTCCAAGGTACAGGACTTTGCATCTGTCCTTGTTGACTTTCATCAGGTTTCTGTCAACCCATTTGTCCAGGGTGAATGGTGCTCCCTGAATGGTAGTCCTGTTGGAAGCATGTGAACTGATTCCTCCCAACCTGGTGTCATCTGCCAACATGATAAAAGCACACTCGGTCAACTCCTCCATGTCATTTATAAAGATGTTAAACAGAAGAGTTTCCAGCACAGCCCCATTGTGGTACTCCACGTTACCAGCATCCAAGTGGAGTATGATCCATTAACCACTAGCCACTGGTCCTGACCTTTTTACCTGTCCAATTCTCCAGCTATTCAGAGCTTGATGGCCTAACCTGGATGCCATAACATTGTGGGAGAAGTGTCAAAAGGAAGTCAAGTCTCCTGGAGAGGTGAGAGCTGATGCATGCTGCCCCACCACAGAGCCTAAGCACAAGAATGTGAGAAACAGCACAGTTACAAAACAAGAAAGAGCATCCTTAATCACCAACATTGCTATATAAGACCAGAAGGGGCTGAAAAATGTCCCAAGGTGTAGTAAAAGTATCTGACAAAGGGGGGGGGGGGAGCAATGTAAAGAAACAGTTCAAACTGAAGTAATAGGGCTCTCTGGGGTCTCCCCAAGGCCACCCATGTGTCCCTTGGATGCTCTGAGTGTATCCCTATACCCCCTGAAAGTATAGTCCAAGGTCTCTTTGGCTGTTGCAGTCATCTCTAGAGTTGTTCAGAGGGATTCTGGGACAAATTTGGGGTCCCTGGGGCTATTCCTGTTGTCCCAGAAAAAAGGAAGAGAGTATGGTGGGGTCGGAGGACAGCACCAACAGACAGACAAATGCTCGCTTACAAATGCAGAGCTTGCATGTCCACAGATGCACTAGCACACATGAGCTTGACTAGCAGGCACACTTGCATAGAAGGCTGCTCACCCCAGCTGGCCAAGCACAGGCACATGTACCCTGCTGTGGACCAATTAAGTAATCCGGCAGAAGGCCTGCTGACCCACAATAGCTGGACAATACATTTGGGACAGTTAGAACTGGAACAACGTTTGAAACTGCAAAAGTGTTTCGTATGATCTAGTCACTGCATTTGTGCACCAGTGCTGGGGCCTACCATTTCACCTCCGCCAATGACAACCTCTGTCTCCTTCTCACACCTCCCAAAATGTTTTGGTGACTTCTGCACAGGTGGTCACAAAGTTTGGCCAGCCCCTGGATATTTTGTCCTAGTGTGATCCCTTACAAGTCATGTTCATTGCCCTCTGAAGCCTTCCACCCTCCTCTCCCATTTCCAGCCATCCCATTATGGGTCATGCAGAGGCACTAACACCTACCATTTCCTGAACTTATGTGACAGTGGAACATGCTTTTCCCACGTGATTCAATCCCACAGTGAAGGATCATACATCCGGCGCAAAAGTCAGGAAGCTGGGTATAAGTGGACTTTTCCTCTTTATCTTCTCTATTACAAGTACTGAAGACAATTTTGTCATTCACTGTACCCTGTCAGGACTACAGGAGGTCCAATGAAATGAAACTAGCACCCATTTGAAATTCAGGCAAAGAGAATGTTTATTCTGTGATTAACAACCTGGCACTGAGTTGAAAGCGTAGCGCATCTTTCTGTGTATCATTCCAATGGAAGCAGTTGGGACACAGAGTACAAAGCAAGCTCTGCTTTCCTCCACTCACCCTGAAACCAGGCAGTGTCAGCCCCAAACTATCACTGACCAGTTTAGGACATCTTCTCCCCCTGCCAAGTACCCAAGTAATTATTTCAGATCTAGAAACCTCAGAGTGTGTGAGAGTAATACTAGGGGAAGGAGCTATATGGCTTCCCCCTCGGCAAGCAGAACTTTCCGTTGTAAAACAAGGGTACGTGAACCAGAGCCACAACCCTCCATCTCTTTCTCTGAATGTACAGAAGCATTTACAAGCTGTTGCCAGCATATTTCACTCTGACATCACCAATGGCCTTGACACCCTTGTCCAGGCTGTAAGCAGAAGGGGTCCTCAGGGAGCTGAGGTTTGTGACCACCAGCTTCCTGGAGAAAGACTGGAACGAGGCATTCAGAGAACTGTGGTGGACCCACAGCTCCTTCGTGGTGCAGAAGGAGGAACTTGTGGAAGAACTGTTCTGTATCCCCAGGTCTTTAATTGTGCAGTAAGTGACCTCAGGGCACAACTCCACTTCCTTGATGGTACAGAACATGGGGCGCTGGAGGGGGCTCCTGAAGCTGCTGAGATGCATCACAGGGCTTCTTGTCAACTCTCTCCACCTCAGCAGTGGATACTGCACCTCTTGGGTCTGCAGGGACCTGTGCCAGGAGGGCCGTCCCACCAGACACATCCACACCAGCCAGCCTGCTAGAGCCAGCATGGTCAGGACCAGCAGAGCCAAGGACGCCAGGTAGAGCACCCAGTGCAATAGGCAGCAATGTCTTAGCACCCGCTGCCCCCACTGCAGACCCTCCCCACCTGCCCGCGAGCACAGCATGGGTGTGGCCAGTCCTGGGGTGGAGCACAGGCAGAGGGGCGGAGGCGCAGGTGGAGAGGAAGGTGCAGGCTGGGTGGAGCGTATGGTGTCCAGGGGAGCTCGTGGTGTTGGGGCATGAGTGGAAAGCACGGTGGTGGAGGCCACTGGTGTGGTCAGCGTCAGAGGAGGAGATGAAGATCTGACAATGGAAGAGGCCTCTAGCATGGCAGTAGAAGGCACTGCTGTGGAGGTGGTGGAAAACATGCCAGTGGACGCTATGAGAGTGGCGTAGGTGTTGGTAGTGCTGGCAGCAGGGGTGGTTTGGGGATGGCTGCTGGTGTTGCGAAGTCTGGTGCTCATAGTGGTTGGCAGCGAGGTGGTGGAGACAAGGGTGATGGATCTGTGCGGAGTGCTGGCTGGAGCAGCAATGAGGACAGCAGCAGTGCTGGGGGTCTGTGTGGGTGTGATGGTGGGACTGGCTGGCGCAGGAGTGGTGGTGTTGGCAGATCTGGTGCTTGCAGGCATCACAAGCAAAGTGCCTGCAGCAAGGGTAGAGCTACTGGGTGTGCTGAAGGGAGGTCTTTTGGTAGCAAGGGGAGGCCAGGTAACAGCACGGCTCATGGTAGTGTGCTCTTTGGGGAAGGGTGGATGTGAGGGGAAGAAAGTGATCATGGTCTCTTTCTCCATTGTTTCTTCCTCATCATCCTCCTCTTCATCCTCTTCCACATCCCCCACATCGCTGCAGTTGGGCTTGAAGTGGATGATGGGCTTCTGCCAATGCTCAGGGGGGCTGTGGCACAGCACCTTTTCAGGGGCGACCTCCACCTTTGTCTTCTCCAGGCCCCGCTCCGGCTGATAGACACTGTCCACGTTCCTAAGGATCCAGGTCCGCAGATAGCGCAGGTCGCAGTCGCAATGCCAGGGGTTCTCAGTGAGGAAGACGTATGCAAAGAATTGGTCCTTGGGGAAGAAGTCCTTGGGCAGCATCCGCAGGCGGTTCCCTGAGAGCCAGAGGGTCTCCAGGTTTTGCAGATCCTGCAGCAGCTCTTTGGGGAGCTCCTCCAGGAGGTTGTCTGAGAGGTCCAAGTACTTGAGTGCCTTCAGCCCTGCAAAGGCATCCTGGGGCAACGTCCGCAGCTGGTTCCCTCGCAGGTCCAGGTCCTGCAGCCGTGGCACAGTGTAGAAAGCCCCCGGGGCCAGTGTCACCAGGCTGTTGTGGGCCACGGCCAGGTGGGTGAGCGCAGGCAGGCCCTGCAGGGCGGGCAGGGCCCCCAGGGCATTGTGGGAGAGGATCAGCTCCCTCAGGGACGGCAGTGGCGACGTGGTGTGCAGAGCCACCAGCCCGTTGTTGGCCAGGTCTAGGTCCTGCAGCTGGGTGAGGGGCAGGAAGGCGGTGGTGGAGAGGGATGCCAGGTGGTTGGCACTGAGCAGCAGGATGCCCGTGTCTGCAGGCAGGTCTGGGGGCACCGCGCTGAGAGCCTGCCCCGTGCAGTTCACCTCCAGGAGATCCTTGACCTTGCTCATCTCTGATGGGCAGGGCTGGCCTGGGTTGGCAGTGCCGGCTGTGGGCAGCAGGGCCGGGAAGATGAGTGGGAGCAGGGCAAAGACCCACATGGCCTGAAGGAGAGAGCCAAGAGTCATGGGCACAGGCAGGCAGGCACCTACACATTGCCTTTCTTCCCACACAAGCACCATTTGCAGCAGAGCTGGCATTCCCCACTAGACCCTCTGGGAGCCCTCTGAGCCCCACAGCTCCTCTCTGGGAGGATGGAAGGGAGAGATGAGTCCCACACCTACTGCCAGCACCCACCCTGCCATCTCGTCCTTGGAGAGCAGCAGGCTCAGCAAGAAGACACCATCTCTGCCCTTTTGCTCACCTCACCCTCCTCCATGGGAGGGAGAACCCGATTCACGCACCTCCATGGTGGTGCCTCCTCCCCTGGAGTGGTATTGCTGCCCTCACCACTACAAAAGCAGTGGGTCCGTGGTGGTCATATCCCTGCATGCCCACACCCACCCCAGCCCAGAAAAGCCATGTGCTGGAAGAGGCTCCCTGAATATGCTCTTACCCAACACCAGCTGAGCCCTCTGCTTGATTCGGGTTCACAAGGTAGGAGCATGAATCATGTGAAAAGAGCTTCCCATGCACAGATGTGGCTACCCCAAGTGCCCAGCCCCTGATGGACACCATTTCCCTGGGACTCACCCATGGACCCTCCAGCATTTGCTCTCCTGCTGCTTTGCGTCCCTCCTGCCGGAGGACTGAGTGCTGCTCTGGCAGCAGCGCTAGCAGCAGGGCTGCCCAGGCCCTCTATCAGCACGCACAGCTGTGGGAAGGGAGCTGCGGCTTCCTGAGCAGCCAAATCCATCTCCTGTTCTTCAGCACAGCTCTTGCTTTAACTGCGCTGCCACACCACCGTCTCCCTGGAAAAGTCTCAACCAGAGACTATTTCCATAATTTCTTGCCTCTGCACACTAAAGAAGGGAGGGTTGCACCTAGGAGGAGCCCTTGCATGTGCCCCTGTTCCCCAAGCCGCACCTTTTTACTTCCTAGGAAAAGGATCCCTTGATTAAATGTCTGCCCCTTCCTCTGCTTCAAGGCAGCTCTTCCTCAGCATGCTCTGTGTTTTGATCCTTGAGGCACCTCAACCTTGGGACCACAGCCTAGTTGGCATACCAGTGAGGAACAGTTCATGCACATTACCTCAGCTAGTTGTCTGTGGTGTAGACGAAGGATCCTTTCTTTCTGGCTTGCCAGAAAATATGGGGATGGCTGTTCTGGAGAGCTGAGAGGCAGCTTTAACATTTGTGGGACAAGCCACAGCACAGACCAGGCAAGGAGATTAGAGGCAGAGGAAGGAGCTCGGTTTTGCAATTCCTCATGCTGCCTGTTTCTGCAGCTGAGCTGTCTCCACTTCCCTGGCCCATAGGTCACTGCAGAGCATCTTGGACTGCAGGGCTGGAGGGTCACCCAAAAGCTGCAAGGGGAGACACTACAGAGGAGGGGAGATATTGATTTTCTACTGGTTTTCCATTCTGTGGGTTGTGGTGGGTCAACCCCAGCCAGCAGCTAAGCATTCACCAGCCACTCACCCACTGCCTCTATAGTGGGACAGGTGAGAGAACTGGAAAAGCAAAAATGAGAAAAAAGACTTTGTGGGTCAACATAAAGACAGTTTAATGAGTGAAGGAAAGAGAGAGAGAGAAAAACAAGTGATGCAAAAGTGTTCACTCACCACTTCCCACCAGCAGATCAATGGCCAGCCAGTCCTCAAGTAATGGTACCTCAGAAAAACTTCTCCCCACCCCAAGTTTTATTGCTGAGCACGATGCTACATGGTATGGAATATCCTTCTGGTCCATTGGGGTCAGCTGTTCCTCCTGTGTCCTCTCCCAGCCTCTCTCTCACCCCCAGCCCACTTGCTGCAGGGGCATTTTAGTTCAGCTTGTAGTAAGACAGCTGGAGGCAGCAGCAGCTGCAGAACTTGGGGGGCTGTTTTTTGGCTCTACATCAGTGATTTCCAACAGAAAGCAGGGGATAGGAAGGGAGAGAGCAAATGTAACCCTGTCCTCATAGGATCCCAGGGATTAAGCCTGCATGTGGTTTCCCCTCCTCCACAGCCCTACTCTTACACTCACCCTGGACCTATAGCATCCCCCACACCACCACTGGTTGGTCTTCCATGCCACAGTCCCACATTCCCAACCGATAGCCCTTACTATTGCTTCTGCCTCTCTGTCTCCCTTTTCCAGGTGGATGAATGCACTAGGACACTTGGACCTTCAAAAGGTCCTTCACCCCACCTGCTTCACTCTGTGAAGGAGAAGGAGCAGAAGACCCAAGAAGTCCACTGTGACAAACCTTACTGAAGGGGAAGGGGCATGCTGTACCAGAGGAAAGGGATGCCCAGGTCAGGAGTCATCTGCAGGCACACTCTTCCCATGGCTGGTTACGAGCAGTGAGGAGGAGGCCAGGAGAGATCCTGGGGTCCTGACATCCAGGTGGGGAGAGCAAAGGAGCAGGGACGGTGTCTCCTTGCTGAACCTGCTTCCCTCAGGCAAGAGGGAAATGAGGGCTACGTCAGCCATCCTGCTAGCAATGGTGCTTTTGCCCCACATTTGCAGTCCACTCTTTCCTTTCTGAGCTAGGTTCACCTTTTGTGTCCAGCCCATAAGCTTTCTCCCCTGCTCCAGAGCCTGTTCCCACACCCCAGGGGTCGATCTCCCATGAGGTTGTTGCCCCAACCTTGATTTCACCCACAGATGGTTTCGAGTGGGGGTTTGGAGGGAACAAGGTGATCCAGGCTGTTTCCCACTTCCTTTTGCACCTCACTAACACCATATGTGACTCTGGGAAATAGGAAGCAGATCATGAGATGATGGTGCCTGAGGGTCATAGAAACATACAACTGCATTACCCCTGGCTTGAGGAGCGTGGTGCTCCTCCAGCGCAGAAAGCAGGATCTGTATCTTCACCTTCCCACCAGCCTTCTTTAGGGACACAAACATCTAAGCACTCTTCAGAGCCCTGTCAGCAGGGGTCACCCTCATGCTTGCCTGTCCCTGTAGACTTGTGACACTGTTCACAGGGGGCTTTGGAGCGCTCTGTCACTGGGTCATTTGACAAGCCCCTCAGCTACCACAGGCCTCAGCTGATTTGGCATCTGCTGCATCATGTGGGCTTGTGCATGGCAAGGAACAAAGCTGAGACGTGACCACCAGCTTCTGGGAGCATTACTCCTGGGGGCTGGGCAGGCCTGGAGAGAAAGGTGAAAGCCCTAGTAGCGTCTCTGAGCTGTTCCCTTTGGGGTCCTCCATGGTGGGAGGATGGAGCTGCCCTGGGCTGAGTATGAACAGACCTACCCTGGCACACACACAAGTGCATTCTCTTTCATTTCCGAGAAGCTCATGAATTCATCAGTAATGGTGAAGCCTTCCTTCCCTTGGGAAGGTCCATGCTTGCTGGACATCAGTTGAATGGGGGATCTGGTGCAAAAACATGTCTGGCCCCAGCGGAAGCACATACTTCTATCCTCCCCCTGTAGGTGGCAGTTTCCACTACAGCAAAAAAACATGCCTCAATATGAGATGCCCTTCTTCATACAAATTTGTGATTTATCCAGCTTCATTTCAGCCCACACGGGACATCCTGAGCCTGCTCCAGGCTCCTCAGCACTGTAAGCAAAAGCAGTTTTTCCTCTCCCAGAATGAGTGACCAAAGGTGGGATCCATCTCACAGTGTTAGATGTCTCCAGGTCACAGGTGAGCTTGTCACCTGGGCTTGTGCTGCAGGCAGGCACAGGGAGACAAGCACAACCATGGACCCATCCCACCGACATGCCTTTGTTGTCTCCTGCAGGATGCAGTGAACCATTTTATCAAAAGTGCCTGCAACTCCCCACAGGCTAAAAGGAGGTGGACACAATGCCTCAGACACA